TACCTCATGCGATGAGTCCGCCCGTCCCGTGCTAGCGCAATTTGGGCCCGGAGCTGGTCAGCAAGGAAAGCTTCTCGAGCCCAGAAACCTTGAACGAGTCTTCCGACCCTAAAAACGTAGCAGGTACCCACACTGTGGCGCACACTCTTCCCTCGACGTAGAGAGATCGACACCAGGCCACACCTCAACATAAGCCGAGCGGCTGCCCTTCTCGGCAGCAGGGAGGCCAGGCCGTGCTTTGTTTGAGCTGCTTGCTGCATCGAAGAGAGCTTCGAGGAATCGGAGACAGAAGCACAGGCACTCTCAGGCAGTAGCTGTCGCGGGCGAAACACAAAAGCAGGCTTCGTCACGCTGTGCATGTACTCCCTACCGGAGACGCGCGGAAACAGACCTCCATGCACTGAAGCCACGCCGCAGTGCCCAGCTCCAGGGAAGCCTGGCGTCTGCCGGTAGAGGCAGCTGGCTTGGCACGCTCACAGCTTCTGCGACTTTCCATCTAAGCTACTTCCCTGCGATGGGACTCTCTGCCGCTGCGCCATATGCTGCACCATCTACAAGCTTGCTTGTCAGTCTACTCACAGATTTTCAACAATCACCCACACTTCAACCAAAGGAATCCCTCCATCAGTCAAAAAAGGAATGGACATGAATGGACCGAACACCCACCTCCTGGCCGGCTTCAACCAGACCCTCCGCGAGCTCAGAGAGGGCCACTTGAAGCGAAGAAACCCTTGGACAAAGCAAGCTCTCGCATCTGGTCTGGAGTTCTTGGAGCTCTTGGGCTCTTCTATCTCAAGCCAGAGCCAAAGCGGAGCTCCTACGTAGGTCCTGGGTCCTATAGACTCGTGCTGTACACCTGACAAAATCGGTGCCGCACCGTGCCATAGCAACGGACTTGGCCTGCAGCGCCGGAATTGGAACTGAGAAACATTCCACTACAGTAGTTATAGTTACAGTATCTCGGACCTGTGCATGGTTTCACATGCGCGGCTTGTGTCGGGACATCTCGAGCTCGTGAAAGACCATGCTTGATTCAGCACATGCACAACCCCTCAATGCAAGTTGTCAGTCAACCTGCCACCCTGCCAACGCCTCAGATTCTGAAAGACCTCCATCTTCACACCTGCCAGCATCGTTCGTGTTGGCTGCAGAGGGTGGGTGGCTGCTTGGGTAGCTTCCGTCCTTCGTCTGTAAACTGCGACTCCTTCGCCTCACAGTCTCTCGGATCCCCAGATGAGGGCCCTGCAGCCGGCAATGGATCCGCGGGTCCTGGCACCGAATCGCCCCGGACGAATGAGCATTAGAAGAATCCAAAGTCCTGGCTGTAGCCTGCTGGATATAGCTGTTGCGATTGCAGGTTGGCTCCTTGCGTTATTGCAATTTCATGACATTTTATGAACGGACCTCAATCTTTGCTGGAGGCCAGTGCTCCCATGCTGTAGATGCTGGCACATTTGGCCAAGGATTTTGAGCAGGGATTCGTGCAGATGTGGCAAGTTAGGCAAGCAAGGAACACTGAAAGGTTAAATAGCAGCAGGTACGCCCTATCCTAAACGACATGCACGAAAACCTCAGACATCAGAGCAGCTGAATCTTGAATCTTGTTCGACTTCGGACCAGGAAGCGCCTTCCGCAGCATCCTGAGCTGAGGCAGGTCTTCCCGCAGGTACGGCGCAGACCTAAGCTAATCATGCTTGACACTTGATGAGCCCGACGACACAAAGCTTGCTGGCGTGCTGGGCTGCTGGGCTGCGCTAGCACCAGGCAGCTGAGAGGAGTGTCTGAGGTTTCTGCCAGCATGCTTTGCGGGATTTTGCATGGTTGTCATCTCGGCTCCACGTGCACAGAAGGGCTGAGCCTCCGGCCCTGGTGGGAGGTTGACGACCCCAACGTCTGCATCGCACAACACCAGGCCGTGCCTCACACTGAGGATATTAAGAGAATTGCGACTCTCAGAGACGACAACAATGAGTCGTGAAGACGGTGGCGAAAACGATGATGCCATTGTTGGCAATGGCGGTGGTGATAGTGTGACGGTGGGGTTGTGGCCGAAGTGCTGGCAACAGACTCTCGTCACGAAATGTGTTCTGTTCAGCGAGCCTACCGCTGCCATCACGGCACCGCGTGTTCCTCTGCTGCGGCTGCTTCTGGCACTACTTCTACTGCTGCTGTATTTCTGCTGCTGCTACTGCTGCTGCTGCTGATGCTGCTACTACTACTAACAACAACAACAACAACTACTACTACTACTACTACTACTACTACCCTACTACTACTACTACTACTACTACTACTACTTATGCTAGTTATTGTTATCTATTCTACTACTACTACTACTACTACTACTACTACTATAACTAGGACTGTGCTTTTGCGGATACAAGCCCGCTGACCTCCCGACCAAGATCCACCGAACAACTCGCCGACCTTTCGTTGCATGCCTCCGGCCTTCAAGTAATCAGTATTGGAAATAGACATGTGCCGATTAGCGCTAGTGCCGTGAGGTCGTGGTGCTATCACCTGAAACCGGGCAAGGGTTCTGCTAGGTGGTCATGCCCCACAGAATTGCTTGGATGTCTGGCAACAGGTACTTAATCATCGTAGAATGGAAGCCTGGCAGGAGATGATGGTCGGACAGGACGTCGGAAAAATCCGAGAGGCACTGGCATCTTGGCTGCAGCATTGTGTCGGATGCTTCTTGAGCAAAGTAGAAAAAACCGTTGGGATAAGGAACCAGTACAGCTTGGAGACAATGTGCAGACAGTAGAACAGAACGTGCGTTTGGGTGCCATGAGTCTGCAAGGATGTGGCCAAGCAACTTGAAGCTGAGAGCGACATCATTGAACAGGTCGTGTGTTCTGCGGTCAAGGTTAGTAGCACGAGTGTGTCACGGGACTTCATCGAGCTGGGTTTGGTCGTCAGGGTGCACTGGTCAATAGATTTTGCATAGCAATGCAGGCGGCACGGCGGTTGGCAGAGCTCGTGCTGCAGGCCGAGTCGGCCGAGTCCGGGAGTTTCACAGGCTCAATGTGTATCCCGGGCAGGTAGACTTGTCCAAGATAGATGAAAACTGCAAAGACATCGAGCAAGTGCACCAGATGATCCGGCAGGCCGAGGCAGGCTGAGAATTCAACCATTGCAGTCAAGTTTTGCAGTATAATTCGAGGCGGAGTGCTTCACTGCATTTTTTCTGCAGGGTTTATCCTGAGGTGCTGGAGTTGGATGGTACTGCACCAGCTGAGCAGTGAGCCTTGGCCTGTCTACATGTCAAGATTTCTCAGCGCGTCGAGAGTCTATAGCTGCTTTCAGTCGTTGCGATCATGTGATCATGTGCCCTTCGCTTCCGGGAGGCCGGGAGGACCTGGCCTTGAAGGCATTGCAGGCAGCAGTTGGCCTCGGTTCGGGCTGCAAGGCTGAGCCAGGGCCTGACAGGGAGACGACAAAGTGCCGGATGTGCATTTTAAGACAAAGGACGACGGCAGCAGAACGGGCGATATGCGCACTTGACTAATTGGCCGGCTGGAAGTACACAGCCTGACTTAGCACAGCACAGCAGTTCGAATCAGTTTGCTATGCAGAACTGGGCAGGCTGCTGTTCGTTTTCTTGCTGTGTGTGTGCGTGTGTGGGTGGGTGTGCGTGTGCGTGTGCGTGTGCGTGCGCGTGCGTGCGTGCCAGCGGCGCAGTCTCCCTGTCAGGCGCCTTTGGCGAAAGCGGTGGAATGGTGCGAAATTGCGAATATCACCTCGGACACTATTGCCAAAGCTCAGGAGGACTCCGGTTTGGATCTTTCGCGCCATCTCGGCCTGAGGGTCTTCTCGAGTGAGCATCGTCCTAACAGGGGCATCCCCAGACACAGGGATGAACCTCGTTCTAGAGTGTTGGACCACAAGAGCGCAAGTGTGTCGCAGACTGCCCCTAGCGGGAAAGAAGCGATAGTCCATGATAGTCCTAAAGCAGCAGATGTGTAGTCCATGCAGACGCGAGAAGCTTGTGAGGACTGTGCGCAGGAGGCGGAGACCAGCCTCTCATCCGTCGTTTCTTGCCCATTTTCCAGTGCCCAAACCGGACCTCTGGAGGTGTCGGCGGCTTCCAGGCGGGATCTCGCCATAGCTCTGGCGGCTGTGGCAGCCATTGCGGTGGGAGCAGGACGACCATGGCAGAAGCCGTCATCACGGCCGATCCTTTCTTTCTGCCTGCAGGTCTGTGTTTCGTCGTGAGCCGAAAGCGTCCTGAGGCCAGTCCACCTTTGCGCCATCTTTGCGAGCACAGCATAGCTTGCTTTTTGGAGTGTGGCAGCAGGCACACAGCACACAGCCCCCACCTTGCCAGCTCGTCGCATGTTGCCAGGCGCCAGCACAAGAAAGCCCCGGTGGCATCGAATTGCTGCAAAGCAGCGCTTCGTGAGCGGCTAGAAGCCCGGAAACTGCGGGCCACAACGGCAGGCCATGAGGAAGATCCAGGAAGCATGACCAAGTCGGGCTACAAGAGGCCGACGAGGGTGTACTAATTCACGTGCTTTGCGAGCAACTGCCCAACCAGCATCGATCAGAGCGATGCAGCGGTTCAGTTGGCTCTGTGGAAGCAAGCTGCGCTGGGAAAGTGAAATTGTCGACGAAGAAGCAGCGGCATCACGATCTACGGGTAGGAGCTTCGGCAGTTGGAGCTGGCTGTTGTGCTGCCGAACATGCCACGGATTAGATTTCGTGCGAATGCTTACTACATTGCACACAGCATTCTTTATCGCAGACGACACGAATCTTAAGCGAGCCTTTGTCTCCGCACAGTGTCGATTTGACCCTGCCTCCTACTGTACTTAGGTTGCCCTTAGCGTTGTCTTTATGCGACTGATATGGACTCAAGTCCCCAAGATGAAAAGGAGTCACCAGGGTTAACTGAACGGAGTATTGCTGCTGGTAGCTGTGATACCTGAAACTTCACATTGTCCACTCTTGATCTGCGTGCTCTGCAAGTGCGCACATGAACGTAGCGGTGCTGACAGGAAGATCGAGACTGGCATCCTCTCCAGCCGCCGACTCCTGTTTACGGCAGTCAAGGCGACCAATCAGCCCGAGTGTCTGATCAATTTCCAGCAGTGAGCGTCCAGTGTCCATGAGAGAAGACAGGCGGTCTTGTGTCAACATATGTTGTGGGAAACAACACAGGCTGTACTAGCTTTCGTTCAGCAGGCTGAGAGCTGCAGCAGCGCGTGACCCAGATCCTCTTCAAGCAGAGATGAAAGCGCTCCACAAGGCACAGGACTACCACACAAGTCTAGTTAGTCAGCGTGAACTCGATCCATTCACACTGCCCAGGAGTCCAGGGCGAAGAACGCCAGGAGCCCCGGCATAGAAAGTGGCTGTGGTGGTGGTTGTGGTCGTCGTAGTAGGAGTGGGAGTGGGAGTAGTAGTGGTGATACAGTAGGTAGTAGGTGCTAGTAGCAGGAGTAGTAGGAGTAGTACAGTAGCTAGTAGTACTAGGTTACTAGTAGCAGCAGTCTGTTGTTGCTGCTGCTGTTGGCAGCAGGTGCGTTTGCTACCGCGGAGGGTGTGTCGAATTCAGGCCTGCGACGTGCCCAAGCTCGGTGGCGTTGGCATCAGTCTTTTCCAGTGTTTCCCGCATGACCGCAAAAAATCCAATAGTTTCTCTTCCGAGTGCCTTCTGCATCCGTACTTACAGTGTTTCGTGCTTGCTATGTTGCTGTTTTTGCTTGGAGTTCGGGCGTGCTTTTGCGCGCAAAACAGGATGAGGGGGATGATGGTGGCGTCCATGGCAATGCGGATCATGTATGGAGTGATTTTCCTCTTGCTTCAGTGCAAGGATTAGGGAGAAAGGTGGCATTCGCGGGGTTTGATGGGGTCCGTGGCAATGCGGATGAGGTGTGCAGTGTTTGTCTTTTTGCTAAAGTGCAAGGGTGGGGAAGGGGGCAAATCACAAACCTTGGAGGGTGGCAAGTCCAAAACAAGAAGCAACATTAAACCTGAATTCGGGAGGAACTGAATTGACAAAGTCCACAGCTCAAAAGAAGGGTATGGCAACGCCAATCCTAAGCCGAAAAAGCAGTGGGGAGCAGCGGAATCAGACTGGCACACCCGCTGGCCATCGACTTGTGAAAGCCTCGAAAAACCTACAGCACGCAAAACCCAAAAGGCCTAGCGAAAGGCATTTCCGAAACCTTAGAATCAGAAAGGGCTGAAGCCATGGCAAACAAAGTGGCGACTTTCAAGGCTTGGTCAAAGAATGGGTTTCAACCTCAACATGATAGCAATATTCTCACACCTCAAAGCAAAGGACAAACCCCAAAGCCACGATAGGCAACAGATCATTAAGAGTGGCATTAGGTCATGAAGAGTGGCTTCGCTCCTTCAAAACAGAGCGAGGAGAGACCCTTCCTTATCCTAAACCTTACGCCGACAGGGGTCTGAAAGGAAATGAGTAGGGGCGAGCCGGAAAGCCCAACAAGAGTCAGAGGCGGCAACCTTCGCCGGAGACCCTGAAAGGAGCAGGGAACTAAAGGCCTAGCCTTAAACCCCAAAGCGGATGGCGAGTAGCAAATCCCTGAACCCGACTCCAGACTGTGTTGCTCGGGCACGACAGTTTAGTGGTGTGGTTTATAGGCAATGACTTGTGCTGTTGTGCCGAGCTCCTGCCCATGCTTCAGCCGGTATGGCCTTAGGCCTACGGACCCGCGAAACTTTCGGCGGAACGAAAAGGAGCTGACAAAAAAGAACTGGTGAGCGACAACTCCTGGAGTCTAATCATTGCGGAGGCAATGGCAAACCTTAAAGCCGAAAATAATGGGTAGCGGAGCGGCAAGCCCTAAGCCTCAAAAAGACAGGAAATTGCATACCAAACCCCAAAAATGAAGGGGTAGTGTCAGCCACCAAACCTCGAAAGTGATAGGAAACGAGCTGTTCAGTGGCAAGCTGTAACAAAACGGGGCCGAAATGGAGGCAGCAACAGTTCAAGGCGTGCCAGTTGGCGGCACGACGCCTAAGCCCGTCCTTCTGCCAATGCTGACAGCAACCTTCCAATGTCAAAAAAGCTCCCAAACAAACTCGCGATTGTCGTCGTGCATTTTCTCGCTGAACCTTTGGTCGCATGTGTCTTCCTTTCAAGTTTCAGATGTCATTAACCCTTCTGAGTCCGACTGAGGGACTGTGTTGTTTTGTATGGCCCCCCTGCATGCGTGTGATTCAGGGTAATTTCAAGAATCATCGCTGGGTTGGGGTGCTGAGAGTAACCTAAGAAAATAGTGTGCCAACTGGTTCGCGGTTCAGTCTCAGACGTCCAACAGTCTGCCCAACAACTTTGCTGGCTGAGTTGTATCCTACTGTCTCTCGAAGGCGCCATTTGCTACGACCCCATCAGCGCAATGACACAACCCGGCGAGGGGCTGACTGAAGTACTCGCCATCTTCAACTGCAACCACATGGGGCCATTCGCTTCCTGAGAGGACTGCGAGAGAATGTCATCGCAGGTCGCCGACTCGCCATCTCCGTGTTCGAGCTGTGAGCTACTGCCCGACCACGGCTTTTTCAATTGCCGTCTACCTTGATTAGGGTTTCGTCAGCCTCAGCTCCTACTTCGAGCTGCTCAACAATTTGTGTTGTTCGTCTTCTGGCGCGAACACCAGGGCCGCAGCGTGCCAGGGAGCTTATTTATTCAACCTGCCGCTCGAAAGGCTTCGGACCTGTCCTGCCTTCTGTCCTCTTCAGATGTCAGGTTGTGCCGCACATGGGTGCACATTGCTGTGAATTCTTCAAAAAGACGCGTCGTCCGCTTACACGCAGAAACAAACAGACAAGATGCGCAAATGCCAAAGAGGATGTGCTCAAAATCCGCCAACTTCCCTCGCTCCAACCTGTGCCACAAGTTCAACAATCCGGGCTTGGAGTTCAGCATGGCAGTCAATGGAAAGTTTGAGCCACATGAAAACCCAAACAATCTTGAGCGGAAATATCCTGTCATTGGCATCATCAATTTTGATGGAGCCATTGCTGTTCAAGTGCCATGTTTCGGGCTGAGCGAGGTAGTGACATAGTCCAGCGTGTGAATAAGACACTGTAGCGCCCGAAACAGTTGATGTGTTGTGCTCGCATGAAGGTCATCCAAGCTGTCGCGAAGGCTCAAGCCTTGGCACTGATTGAATTCAGTTTGACCATATTTGAGACCAGATCAAACGTCTTCATCAAGACTCGCCAATCTTGAACCGCGACTGCGGGGACCATCTTCGCGAATGGCTATTCAATCTTCTTTTTGACAGCAGAGCACTTTCCACGTCCCTCGCGACGGCTTCGCCTGGCGACCTCGTGCACTCATCCACGGCCGTACCATTCCTCCCTCCACGGGGCACGCATTTTTGTAGTTACAGGAAGCCTTGACACATACGTCCGCACGTCAACTCAGTGTTGCGGCACATTTGCAGCCCCTGAACCTTCAGTTCACTAGTCAAGCAATTCTGAAATTCCAAGAAAAGAGCGAACCTGGAAATATGGGCGGCAAAAACCTGAAAGAACTGGGAAATTTAAATTCCTGGGCAAAGAGATAAGACCCGTGAACCTGACCAATGGGCATTGCGGCTGATCTTGCCTTATGAGGCATGTCCAATGGATATGCAGTATAGCAATACGTAAATGCATTGGTAAACGCCAAGGAAACGAGGCCAATGGCAAACCTTGAACTTGCAAGGAAAATAACAGGGGCGGAATGAACAGTGGCACGCCCTTTAGCACTTAATTCGAACCCAATGAAATGGATCCGTTGGACCTGCAGCAAGCAGCAAACCGTAAGCCCAAGAAAAGGTGGGAAGCATTGGGCCAACCTTTCACAGGTGGCAGCAACCCTAAACCCGCAAACATTGGCACACCAGAGGCAGACATGTGAAATTGCAGATGTTAAGCACTAGCAGATCAACTAGCAAGCCCCATACGTTGAAAAGAGCGAGAAGTCTTGGACCCTCGAAGGGAGTGGGGAGTGGCAACAACTAAACCGCCTCAACAGACAAACGAGTGGCAAGTAACAAACCACGAACCACAAGTTTGACTGCATTGTCGAGTCCGAGGTGTGGTGGCATGTGTGATGCAAATTAACCCAAAAAATTGAAGAGCAACAGTGCTGTTCTACTTGTAGAGCAGATTTTGGATCGAACACGGCCACGCAACATAGCTGTTTCGTGTTCGAAAGGGTTTCGAGCGTCAGGACAAAAGTTGACGTTGCCCGGGCTGCCCGGATCACCTGCCATGTGCCTTGCCCTTGACCCGTGAACTCCTGATTTCTGTTGTTTGCTGGAAGCCCGAGCTAGGAGAGGCCGAGGGCCGCAGGCATGCCCATATTTCAGCAGTTCGGTTTGGCTCCGTTTTTGCTGATGCGGACCGTTGTATTCCTATTTCGGCTGACGCAGGAACCTGAACTGAAGAAGAGCTTGTGAATTAAGCTTGAGAGTTTCGCCCAGTGCAGTAAGCTGCAATGAAGCACGGAATTTGCCAGGAGCACGGACTTGCGGCTGCAGTGGAATCTTGCGAATTGAGCCACTGAGCCTCGGTGAAAGCTTCCTGGCGACCTTGCCTTTTCGGAGACTTGCGATGTGACTAGCAGAAGACATCGTGGTGAGACAATGGCTGAAATGTGGCGACTGGACAAGAGATTCTGTACGGATGTTCGTATATCACGGAAGCCAGCACTGAGAACTCGGTAAAAACTGCGTGCAGATTACTAAATTGACAATTTCCAATTTATTTATAATCGAGAGATGGCACCTTGCATCTAATTCCTTGCACAGATTTCGTCCAAGCATAAGATAAAAAGATTTTTTCCGGCCAGAAGGAGTTGCAAAATTGATGCTGCTTTCATAAATATAAAAGCTCTCGTGCTTTGCCAGCTCGACCACTGACAATGATGATGGTGCTTCAGAGACTCATTTGGGAAAGCAACGTCGACTCGCCATGATCCTATATAATCTTATGCGCCGTACGTATTGTTACTTGGTGACAAGTTCAGGAGGTGGCACTGATTCCGAGCTTGGAATTTGAATAACAGATGATCGATATTATTGGTGAATTTATAGCTTATAAAGCTTATATAAGAGATCAAGAGTTGGATTCAGTAAGTAATAAATTCCTTACGAGTTTGGGGGGGGAGCGTCGCGCTTAAAAATTTTCGAGAAAATTATAGTGTCGGGTTGGTAATCTCGTTCGGCCTCAAAATTTTCGAT